CCCTCTCGCGCGGCGGTCGGTGGCTCCCGCCACACCATGTTCGGGGCCGCCGGGACCAGGATTCGCTCCGTCGAGCGCTACGAGGTCGCCGGGGACCGCTGGGTGCCCATGGATCCTCTTCCCGGCTTTCGCGCCGGCTGCGTCGGCTTTGTGGCCCGGGAGGGGGCGGAGTTCTGGGTCATGGGAGGCTACGGCGCCTCAAGGACCATTTCGGGGGTGTTTCCGGTCGACGAGTATTATAGGGACGCCGTGGTGATGGGACTGGAGGGCGGCGCGTGGAGGGAGGTTGGGGATATGTGGGGGGATGGGGAGAGGGTTAGGGCCGGGAAGATTGTGGTGGTTGATGATATTCATACTGGATTTCCCCAGCTTTTTATGCTTGATGGGAATGAGATTTTGAGGTACTTTACACTTTCTCTCTTTCTCTCTTTCTAAATTCATACCAATTGCCTGCTTAGTTAATTAATTAACTGTAGTGGAGGATACTTGGGCCTCTGACCATGATAAAAGGGTTTCATTGAATGTGCAAACATCATTGTCTCTACTCTCTAGTAGAGGATACTTGTCAAGTGTGATCATCTTGGCTTGTGATTTAAACTAATTCTTAATGCGTGTCTCTACTTCTATTCGTGAATAATGATTTTTTTATTATTATGTAAGTATGCTTCATTGTGTTTCTGGACAAGTTTGTGCTTTGTGTTTTGATTGGAATTTGGATTTTCTTCCCCTTTTTGTGAAGTTTGATCTGTCAATTATACCCTAGTTGTGGTTTTTCTTTTGAGGAGTTCTTTTTAGGCACTTGTTTGGTGCATGGTAGTCATAATTGTACGTATTCCAGATCGTAGAATTGGTTCTTCATGTTGTGCCAGATTCTGCAATCCTATGCACAGGTGATAACATGGTTTTCTGGAATTGGAGATGAATCATGTTCTTACTCATAAAAGCTCACTGAATCTGCGTTTCTAGCTGTTCTCAAATTTCCACTAAAAGCATGTTTGTGGGTTGGGCAGAGCAAAATAATGCCCTGTCCAGCCCACATAAAAAAAAACTCTGGCACACCTAAACTTAAACCACCCCGTTCAGTATACTCAAACTGAATTCCATCTTTTTCTTTCAAAATCAATTCCCTTCCAACGACTATGATACTGCAGTGGAGTGTGTCCTAGGCTAGGTGTCTTGAGCTCAGCAATGGAGTAAAATTAAGATGGGTGATCATGCATCTTTGATCAAGAGTTTTGGGATGTGGGACTTCTACTTGGACCGAGTTTGTGGATTTTTTACTTCCCCTGTTTCTGGTTTGTGTGTTTTCCTGTTCACGTGTTCTCCGCTGGGTTTCATGGTTTGAGTGACTTGTACTGAACTGAGTGTTGGTTTTTCTGGTTGCATGTGTTGTTTCTAAGCTGTATTCCTCTATTTTGGTCCTCTATCATTTCTTGTTGGGATTTTGTTTGTCTTTAGTAGGCATTTGGTTTGATTGAAGGGCTGTCTTGTCTTTGGTAGGTTGGAGGCTGTTGTTTTGTTATAAGGCTTCTACCCATTACGCAATCTTAAAATCTAGGCAAACAATATTAAACGACATAAGGAAAAAGACACGTTTCAGATTTTTTTGTTGAAGAAAGAATTCAAATTTTCATCCTTGGATATAATTGTATTATATACTATAAACTAGTAGTTGTGATATTGATCTTGTATTTTACATATAGGTTGTCTGCTTGTGTTTTGAACTTGTTAAAAAAATGTATTTAAATGCTTGCATTATAGTCTTTTAAACCTTAGAGTGTGCATGTGCAAGTGTTTGTGTATCCGTTTCAAATTGTGACTTGCAGTGACCAAATAGCTCAACCGAGTTAATAATTGGGTTGGGTTTAATGACAGTGACTCCTTATTTGTGTTATTTTGATGAGTTTAATTTGTATATATTGTCAGTGTATAATTTATTATATAGACATCCAATAGGAATTTACCTTGCCGCCATATCATATTAAAGAATAGGATGATGTGATAGTAGGGTAAAGCCCTATCGGATGCTTGTGAATAACAATTTTATACTGATAGTGCATAAACTTAAGTTCTATTTTTATATTTACAGGGGACATATCAAGTGAAATGACCTAATGTTGACCATTTAGTCTTACATGGATGGTTAACATTGGTTTTACTTCAATTTAATAACGACCATCCATGTAAGTTGAATATAAATGTTTCATTCACACTTGATATGCATCCTATATTGGGACCACCAATCCTATGGAGTGGGACCACCTTCTTACTCTACTTGGTTCTAACAGACAGGCTGACACTCCTGACTCCCCCATGGCTGATCAAAAATAAATCTAAAATATTATATTAAATTGGTGAAACAGAACTGATGAGGGTTTTATACCATAAAGGCCTTGCAAGCTCATAATGAAATATCAACACACATATTATGAAAAACAGTATTTGTAAACTGAATAAGATATTAAGGGTCAAAGAATATTGATAATAAATATTCTTCTATTTGCTAGGTCTTATAAGTTTGTTTTTTCTAAATACTCTTGGATTTCTTTCTTGTAATACTTTTGGTATTCTTTACTCATTTTTATTGGTCTTGCTTTAGTAGGAATATGTCTTTCATCAAATCCTTCTTCATAAGGTAGTGATACCGGGTTTTTGTGTCCCAAAATGCATTACAATTTTACATAATAGGTAGGAACTTATGTTTTGTGTTTTGATTTCAAGTTTTGCATTCTTGCCTCCTTTTCCATATCCAAGGTAGGATCTGAGTTCAACAACCTTGGTTTGATGTGCGCACAAATTTGAGCATCACATAAATTTTTTTGGTTAGTCCAATTAAAGTTTAGGTGATTCTCGCAAGGATCCAGTTAAATTTGATAGCACCTGGTGGGTGCAGGACTGCAGGTGTAGAACTGTAGAAGTGGTGCACATTTACGGGAAAGTAAATAGCATACCTCTCCTTATGAAATTTGTATATTAGTTTCTTACTACTCATTATAGCTATAGAATGAATAAATGAGTCAGTTATTGAACAATTAGTTTTCCTGGCTAATCAACATGCTTGTCTAGTCCTGTGTTATTGCAACTCCCTTGGTCTTTCTGTGTATCACACTCACACCAGGACCTGGGCCAGTGGTCGGGCAGATGCAGATTTGGGGTTAGATGAGATACAAAAGGGTAGTGGTTAGACTACTCTCATCATGTTACCATTTATAATTTAGGGTCTATGAATGATAACCAATTGTGGTTTTGTGGCACCAAATGTGTTATTAGGGGGAAAAAGTTGTCAGTTGCAGTAGTAGTGTTGTGTCTGTCAATCACATGATTTATTATTCAGTTGAATTCAGTAGAAAATAAATGAATGCTGTAATGTGAAGTGTAAAATGTATAAACTAAATTAAAAATTATTCTGATGTTTGGGAAATTAAAGTCGAACATCCCTAGAATTTGGAGTGACTTAAACATGAAACTCTTGAAATTCTTATTATGAAGCTGGCACTTGTATATAAATAATAGAAATTTTTGCCAAATGTTTCTAATCACACATAGTAACTTTGCACGTGTAAGCTATGTTTTGTGTTTCTTTGAACTTGAAATTTGTGTGTTATTTCAATTTCACTCTTTGATGGATCTTGGCAATTGGACAAATGAGGCAAGCATAACCTAAAGCTTCGCTTAACTGATCAATGGTTATGCTGTGGGGAGTACCTTGTGCCAGACTATTTGAGCTTCATTTAGTCAACTTTTAGGAAGAATCAATGACAAGGGTTTGCTATAAAATGCTATGCGATAATTAAATAATTATACTGGTTACTTAGCTTGCTTATCACTTATTATCAGTCATCTAGTGGACCAGAAGTGGAATGCTTGCTAACAGATATACATTGTTTTACTTTTACCGCTGTTAATATGTACTATCTATGTTTTCTATTATAAGTAAAAAAGAAACACATTATTTTTTTCTTAAATATAAGCAAATTTTAACTATTTTTGTCTCATTCAATGATATTTTCTATAAAATATCTCTTCTTTAATGTATGATTTTTTAGTTGTATTACTTCTCTTGATATTTATAACAAGGACAATTTAGGAAAAATATTATAAGAATAATAAAATTTAATGTAGATAACTAATTTTTCTAATATGCATAAAATCAGTTTTTTTTTTTTATTAATATAGAGAACAGAGGGAGTACAAGGTCTATTTGGTTAGGTTTTGATAGAATTGATTTGGAAATAATTGATGCCGAAAAAAATGTTTTATGTTTGAGAATATTTTAAGAGTGGAGTTCTGAAGAATTCATTTTAGAAGTGTAACTATAGGCACGCTGTAAACCCTTATGTAACAAGTTCGATTCCTATTGATAAAAAAAAAGGCATGTTTTTAAAATTTTGATGGGTCACATATTTAGAATAAAGGTTTTCACCTAGAAAGTTGTTTTTTGCTTTTCTCAAAATCAAATGTACTTTCTGTTGAATTGATTTTTTTTTTTTCCAACTTCAAATTCATTCAAACATGTTTTTCCGTTGAAATTAATTGTCTTACGGCAAATGGCCTTTTGCATTGAAACAAATAGACTAATATTCATTAAAACATGAATCCTAATTGATTCTTGTGCTTTCAACTTTTCCCCCTTCATTGTAAGGTTCTTGTATTAGATTTCGTAAACTGCTTGCAATCCACCTACTTTAGTAGTGATCATGCAACAGTCTCATGACTTTTCTTGTTTACATGTAAATTACAATTCCAAAGCTTCTGAATTGGTAAATCTGATATTGACCATTTTTTTTTGTTATGATGAATGCACCTTGCAGATATGACATGTCTTCAAATCGTTGGCTATACGAGTCTCGTGTGCCAAGAAAAGCTCCTTACAATCCGTCATTTGGTTTTGTCGTATTAGGTGGGGAGCTGTATGTAATGACACATTCATGCGTTGTTGATTTTACAGAAATGCGAAGGGCCAGACACCATAAGAGGGCAGGAACTCTGTTCATTCAAATATATGACCCAAAAAAGAAGACATGGAGATCCCTAGTCACGAAATCACCTTTCAATTACCCTATAGATATTAATAGTGCTGTACTGAGCTCAATTTCTCTATGAATTATGTTGCATCCTATTTGTATAGTACAGGGATCACTGCCAAATTTCTCGTGTATCACATCATTTCATCCACCGGGCTCCATGCAGGTGGCTTATTTGTATATTTCTGTATTTAGTATGTCTTGATCAGGGTATCTATTTTATATTAGACGATACCATCTAAATTTGGAAATAAGTGACTTAGTATCAGCTATTACCAGTGTTGTAAGCCTAAAGTACTGAAATATTTGTAATGTATAAAGAAATGGCTGTAACTTTCAAAATTTTGCTTCATTTTATATTCCCTAGTTGAATTAGTACTGAGTGTTGAATAACTTGGGCCACACCTCGGCATCTTTTCTGGCATATGCTTTTACAGAAAGTGATAAAAATTTTCGTTTGTTGAATTTAACAACCCAGTGTCATATACATAACATTTAGATTTCCCTAAATTAAAAATAAATCTCACTTTAGAAAAAATTCATATGTCAATTGCAATTGGTAAAAGTTAAGTAAAAATATAGACCAATCTAATGGTCAACCTGATAGGTTGATTTGTTATTTAATTATGTAAATTGAATTAGGTGATAGGTTAATTTGTTGTTTAATTATGTAAATTGAATTAGGTGGGTGGAGGAATGAGAAGTGTAACTCAATCTGACCTATTTAAATGGGTTATGAATTTGTCATGTCGAAGTTATTTTGATATCATGTAGCTAAATCTTCATTTTTTTTCAAATGTTATTTTTGAATACTGTTTATATTATACTCTTTTGATCTTAATTATAAGTAACATGATAAACCATTAAGATTAAGAAAAATAATTAATATGATTATTTTTAATTAATTTTACTAAAAATTCAAATTTCATTTTAAATATATCTCATATTTTAAGTGATTGTTATATTTAATGTTAGTTATAAATAAATACATAAAAAATAAAATTAACAATAAATGAAGGGTATAAAAAATTTAACCTATAATAACTTTAAATTAATAATTGTTGTTTATAATTAAGACTAAAGAAGAATCTAATTTGTTGCAGATGAGAAGTAGTAAAATATTTTTACATTAAAGTTTGGATAAAAGAATTTAATTTGTGAAAAACAAATGAAGTGTAGAAGTATAGCGGCTGCATGTGAGAAACATTTAATATGCAAGTCTATTATTATCTCCACATATGCTATGCTATATATACCATTACCAGCAGGTATGAAATCTTGGATCGGTTCTTTCATTGTGAGCCTCGTGTGATGACCAAGTTAGCAAGGAAATCAACGTGTAAAGGTGAAAACACACCCAACGCCGCTATTTATGCATGCACATGCACACTTATCCAATTTTCAAGGCCTTTATATAACTTGGATTGGGACGTCTTTATGTTACTACCATCCGTATCCGTTCAACGTACCGGCCACGCAATTCATTGATAAATTATATATAAATACTACGTATGCATTCCTTCTCTTTCTCATGCTTTCTTAGCTTAAAAAGATAAATAAAAAAAAAATCTCTTGATTTTAATAGTTTTATTTTTTAAAATTAGATTTTTATTGAGCTTGCAGACTGATCCATTTGTTCTTGAACCATTTATTTTGTGGTTTAACTCATCCATCCTCTTAAAAATATGGAGTTCAAGAACTAATTTTTAAAGGGATCAGACCAGTCTGTATATGGTATACTTAACTCTAATGCTTAAGCTCACGAATGAAAGAAAGAAAAAGATTGGTTGAAGTCATTGTTTCGGGGCTAACTCCAACAGCCATATCAAAGAGAGAATGAGGCTCTTTTTATATTTACTTTTTGGCAGAAAAATTTGTTAAGATCATCAGGGACCTTAATGGGCCGTTAGGCTTTTGGGCTGTATGTGGACTTGATCAGGTGTTTTTGTTTTTGGCAAATAATATATATAACTCTTTATATTTCAAGGTACGACAACTTGTTGATTTTTTAAGATACGATTATATTATCTTGTTAAAACATACTTTTAAAAAGTATTTTTTAGAATAATATATATATTGTTTTAGAAAATATTTTTTTGAATTTTTTTTTAAATTTACTTCCAAAAAATACTTAACAATATATATATATTTCCAAAAATATATTTTAGAATATAGTTCCGAAAAATACTTTCTCAAATAGTATAAATAACATTTTAAAAGTATGTTTTGAAACAAACTTAAATAGAAGATTTAGTTGCATAGTCACGTAAAATGAGAAATAAATTTTTCTTAATTAAGTTTAATTAATATGAAGAATTAGGTTATTTAAAGCCAATGTCATCTGATCAATCTGCCCTAAATTTTGGGATTCACAAACCAAAATTATAAAGAAATTAAAAATTAATTAAATATAATTAATAAAATTAAAATTAATGCAACCATGTGAGAAGTATAGTAATATTTAACCTATGTTGTATTCTGTAGACCAAATTTAGTTGTCTTCATTCTCAAACACATGTTGCTCGTGGAAGGCATTTAAGGGTCCGAGGTATGCGGTTCTAATTTCGCAAGCCCAAAACCGTTCACGGTCAACTACAACTTATTTAAATATAAATTTTAAAATATTTTTGAAAATTTTTCTAAAGAAGTCATCAAAGACGCTTCTGATTTATATCTTAATAGACATTATATATATTAATGAAAAACAACAATGTCAACACGTACAGTCAATATATTTAATTGAAATGTGTTGTGTATGTTCTCTTAATTCCACCACTACATTCTATATATATCTTGTACAAGCTCATGACATTATCATTGTAGTTGTACCAAAGAATTGAACTCCTTCAAAGCTCACAAGAGCAATTTTCTTAGTTAGAGAGAATATAAACATGGTTTTCTCTTACAGAAGGTTCCTCTTCACAGTTCTGCAGCTTGTGTTCATGATAATTCTTACCATTTTTGTCGGTTGTCATGAGTGTGGAGTAGCTTGCAGGCCATTATTATTACATCGTGAGTTGTCGAGGGATTATGGCCTTCTTTTGCAGTCGCTTCCGAACGGCCCTGCACCACCGTCAGGTGGATCTCGGATTCATACCTAAGCCAGCTTGAAATGGATCAGCAAGAAAAATGGAAGAAAAAAAAGTTGTTGCATATTCATTATCTAGAGTTTGTATGTAGGCATAAATTTATATATGAATTCAAACTAAAAATTTTCTGTTTTGTGTCGGAGCAAATGCATATCTAACTTGTCCAAACTATAAATTTTATTGGCTTAAAATATGCTTTTACTCAACTACGGAGTAAATTTACTTTTTTCTAACAAATTAAAAAAAATACTTTTTAGTTTCTATAATATATATAAAATATTTCAGTTCTTTTGTCTAAATATCGACAATGAATATATTACACAAATTTTATTTAATAAAAATATTACATATTAAATCTAATTATACAAATAACTCAATCTATGTTTCTGTCTGTAATCTGGTATAGGTAATTTTTAGAGATAAAAACAAGACATATTAAATTATAAGAACCTTTATATTGATTATTTTAGACATCTTGCATAGGTTGGAAAACCAATATTTTTTCAAATGATATTATAAAGGGAACTTCATAGATTATTGCATAAGCAATGTAAGAAGTATTTTTTATTTATTTAAAATATTGGTTTGTTATTTTTACAACCCAAACCTGTAAAAGTCTCAGCAGACATTAAATCGTCAATGGATATCTAGTAACCATAATATTAAAACTAAAACATCTTTTACATCATGTAAACAATAAAAACAGATACAAAAGATCGAGTATGAAATGAAAACAAAAAATAAAACAACAATGACCGAAATAATGTCCTTGGTGGTGGCAAAGACAAGACCCATGCTGTGTATGAGAAGGTGATGTGATTTATTACGGAATGAAAAAGAAAGGAAAAAATTATCAAAAGGATTAAAAAAAATGTGTTTAGAGGAGCAAATTTAAGTGGATTTGACAGGATATTGAGGTGAGATTTATGTGAATTTAATTTCACTTTTTTATGAATGTATTTGTGTGGAATTTTCAAAAAAAAAAAAATGATTGGACAAAACTATCCCTACACCATTGTCAAATATATATTTAAAAATAGTTAGTAAAGAATAAAAAATATAATTGTCTAAATAATTTATTTTCACATAAAAATATAATTATATAAAATATAATTTTAAAATATTAATTTCTCTCTATTTCTCACCTGATTCTACTCTATTAAATAATTACAAATTTTACTCTATTTCTTATTTATTTTTTATTAAATCAATTTTTACATATTCTTTTCTTTTATTCTCTTCAATTCTTTCCTTTGTCCAAACAAAACATTAGAGAATAAAAGTTATTCTTGTCGATTATGTCATCATGTTTTTTTTATTACATAAGTTATTTAATAATCAATTTAAAATCTTGATGTAAAATATGTTAATTGACTTAATTGGTGATGGTATATACTTGAAAACATAAATAATAAATATTCTATAAATAGTTCTTATTTTTCTTTATTTTTTTTATCACATCACCCATACATATATATATATATATATATATATAT